ATATATAAATTACTAAATAAAATGCCTGCAAATGGAGAACACATGTCATGTAAAACAAACCTGAAAATATCCAAGGCTTTGAAGCTGTGGTAGTGAATTTAAACCAGCTACACTGTTCTTTAAAATACACAAGGGATGATGTATGTGTTGTGTGTGTGCTCAATGTGTTATCGCTTAAAAGAAACAGCAGCTGGAACAGCACCACACATCGTACCGACAGGCCAAAGGTTGTGGGGGCGTGCTGATTTAGGAGGAGAAACAGATTGTGAGGCAGAGCTGGGTGTGACAGCGCAACGATAACCTGGTGGTCTGTTTGAATCAACACCAGCGTGCGGGCATTTGTATGCGTGTGGAAAAGGACATGCAGATAATTTCACGAGTTCAAGATTTCTGCTAAGCAATAACCTTTAGTCCAGAAGAAAAAAACAAATGTATGTTAGCTGCAGCTACACATTAGGGACATGAAGTTATTGTCTGCAAGTTGACAAAAAACAAACAACAATAACAAGCAATTAAACTAAACCAGAACGGAAAAAAAAAATCTAAGCCAAATTTAAGGTGAGTAAGAGTTTTGGAATTGGCTTGCATATGGCCTTTTTCAGTGGTATAAAAACAAACTACTCCACAGAGGTGCCTTTTATAGTGGAGTCTACTGATTTATGAAAACATCGTTAGATTTACGATGGCTTCAAAGCTTTTGTAATGTTAAACTAATTTATTTTCATGTGAAAAAAGAAAACTGACCTGCTTCTCCTCTGTACTGGCTGTGTATTCTTGCTCCTCCTTCCTGGAAGCTTCATCAGTGGACTGTTCCATTGCCTTTTCTTTATTAGCATGAGGGAGGCTGAAACACCAGCAGAAAGAGACAGACTGTGCAAACCGATACAAAGATGGGAACAAAGTAAACAACGCAATTCAGCTTTAATGTCATGGAAATAGAAAGCTGGTAAAAATGTCTATTATATCTAAGGTAATTAAAAAAAAATGCATTTCTGATGTATGTTAATAGTGTTCAAAGCAGTACTTTAAACATTCAGATTTGGAGTATCGTAAGATTATAACCGATTAATATTTTATGTTTTCTGTTTGAATGACCCGAGTTTGGAGAAAGGAGTTTATTTCTGATGGATTGATGAGTTAACAGCCACTTTGAGCGAGGTCAAAGTGGATTGTTGTTTAAAGCATGTTGGTCTTGGCCACACTAGCGGTTAGTTCATAAATCAATCAGAATTAAACTTTATTTCTGCACACTGTGGTCAATCAAAAGGGCTATCTGCAACAAATATAAGAATTGTTTACACCCTTTACACAGAATGCCACTTGAAAAGAGCTTTAATGTGTGATTGATAGAAAATAAATTATAAAAATTATTGTGCTCTTAATGATTCTTTGGGTATAAGAAGTTAAACTGGACATCCTGCGAATACTGAAATCCACATTCTCATGGGTCACATGTGAATCTCGTGTTTAGCAGGTTGCTTAGAAGTATTTCCACATATCGCAAGAGTGTACGGTTCTAAACGGTTTCAGTATGTTCATAAAATTTGTGAATTTTTGTAAAATACTCCCCTTGTAGACGAAAAAAAAAAAAAAAAAAAAGTCAAAATCTGTTTACATTCATGTCATTCTGGAATTTGTTGACTCAGGATCTGCCACTTATCTGATCAAGACACAGGTCGGTCGTGTGAATCTACATCACACAGATACGGGAAACAACTCCACAGATGATAGTCTCGTTTTTTTTTAAAACAGCCTTTCTTTTATATCCATAGGACACAACATCTGCTTATGGTAAATGGACTGCATTCATAGCCAGCCATCTATTGACCACTCAATGTGCATTAGACTAGGAGCCACCATAACAACAACAATCCAAAGCTATTAGGCTTTTAGCATCTATCTGACTGGAGGGTACTTGAATTTCAAACAAAAGTACTCATGTTTTTGACCCTTAAAAAGTAGTACTGCTCAGAGAGATTCACTTTTGCTTTCATTGTGCTTCTTGTATTGCAGTTAGGTTACAGTCATTTACTCATATTCCTTTCAATGCACCAAAGGCTGGTGACAAAATATGGCAACATGGACTCATTTAGAGAAAAACTAGTATTTGGTTCCATGTTTGACATTAATGCACAATCTTACGAATTATTGCTACAACATTTGAAACACAAGCTGAAGCTCCACTGTAGCTACTACTTTTCAGTCTGCTATTAAAAGACTCCTGTTTGTACGTGTGTTGGTGTGCATATCTAACAACCGTGATAAAAAGGCAAGTTCTGCAGGTCTATCTCGGTTGTGCATCTCAGCAGCGGTTTATGACTGTCTTTCAACTTGTCTGTAATTATCTCTGTTCCATTCAGACTGCTCAGTTGGCTGGGTGTGGATATCAACTACGGTACTTTCAAGGTGGATCCGTCTGTTCCCGGTGTTTTCTCACATATAAGTGGCACAAAAGGAACATACTGTATAGTAGAACATAAATAAAACTGTTCATCCATGCTGGCATCCACTTCAAATTGCTCACCAGGTAGAAGATGATTCCTCTTTGTTACGGATGATCAGCTGATGCTTTAGTTTGTCATCACACCGCCGCCTGCTGCTTCCATCCTCCGTCCCTTTGTGGTCCTACATGTAAAGAGGGAGAGGTTAGACTCTAAATTAGACCTGAACTTGAAAGAAGTCCTGCCGAGGTGCTGCACAAGCAGTGAGGATTATCTTGATAAGGGAAGTGAATAAATAAAGCTCCACCCCTGCTTTTAGGAATAGCACTTAACCCTTGCAATGGTCCAGCTGAGCTGCTTAGAGGCAAGCGATCCGGTGTGGGTCTATATAGAAAACGACATGCAAATGTCTGGACACCTGTAATCACAGACTGTAACTGAGACAGGCTGACAGAGAAAAAGACTACTTATTTCTTAAAAAAAAAAAAAAAAAAAAAGATCAATTGAAAGAGTAAAAAAAAAAGAAGTATTTAAGCATGGTTTTAACTCCTTGTTTTGTGTAAAAATGTCATGCTTGGGTTCATTTCAGATTTATAATTACACAATAAATCTCGGCAAAATTACAAAAAATAGGAGGTGATTCATTGATATTCTGTAACTCACATGTATGAACACCCAGCTGAGCATATGCTGGAAATCAAACAAGGAATTAACGCTCAACTTCTTATTCATTGCAAACACAGTAAAGAAATGAGTTTCACTCTAAGCTGTTGGCTTTTTAATCTTGTCCATAATAAATATTAAGGACTTATTATACTGAGTGCTGGTTTCTGGTATGCAAATATTACAGCTTTTAAATGCCTTTTGTACCCAGTGAACTCAATCAGTGACTGTTTGCACAATTTTCGTCTTGCAGAATGGGTTTTTGTTCTGTGATCTTTATGTGTTGTCTTGAGCAACCTGTTTCTCTGAGGTCTGTCCACAGATTTGAAAGATGTTTAAGTCAGGGAACCATGCAAGGCCTCTGGTTTGCACTTCTTGGAATCAATGTGGAATCTGAAGCATGTTTGAGGCGTGGTTAGACTCACTGTTGTCGACTTGATTAATCGTTTTCTCCACCAATGTTCTCTCTGTCATTTGATGCAACACAAGCCTAAAGTATAACAGATTCCTTTATGAATGGTAGGAGAAATGTTTCAATGAAATTCTGCACATTTTTTCCTGCATAACCTTCGAACAACGTGGACAAATATCTTGAGTCGGAGTCAGAGTTTCTTTATTGTCGTTCGCACCACGTAGTACATATGGTGTAACGAAATTATGTACACAGGGTCCCAGCTACAACCAACAATAAAAATGTAAAAGAAAAACAATGATAACATACAAGATATGAACTAAGAAAATCAACTAAAAATGCACCAAGCACTAATAGCATAAAAACATTACGTCGAACAGCAGAAAGAACATTAGCATGTGAGCAGATGAGCATGCATGAACACATCAACATTAAACAGATCAGCAGCAACATGATGTGATTTTTTTCCCACAGTGATTATTCTGGTTAGAGATTCATGAGTCTAACAGCTTCAGGGTAGAAGCTGTTCCTCAGTCTAGTGGTTCTAAATCAATGCTCCTTAACCTCCTTCCTGAGGGGAATGGGGCAAAAAGTGTGGGTGCTGGGTGAGTGGGGTCCTTCATGATGCAGGTGGCTCTCTTCCTGCATCTGGAGGTGTAAATGTCTGTGATGGTGGGGAGACTGACTCTAACAGACTTCTGTGCAGCCTTCACTACTCTCTGCAAAGCTTTTCATTCTGCAGCTGTGCAGCCTTCATGCCACACGTTGATGCTGGAGTACAGGATGCTCTCCACTGCACACCTGTAGAGGGAGGTGAGGACCGAGCTTCCCAGTCCAGCTCGTCTTAGCCGTCTGAGGAAGTAGAGTTTCTGATGAGCTTTCTTGATCAGGCTGGTGGTGTTGTTGCTCCAGCTGAGGTTGTCATTCATGTGTACACCCAAGTACTTGTAGCCGGAGACCACTTCTACCGCAGATCTTATGTTCAGGTGGGTGTAGGTGAGTTTGTTCCTTCTGAAGTCCACAATCATCTCCTTTGTCTTCTTCACATTGATGTGAAGGTTATTCTCTTTGCACCAGCTCTCCAGGTGTTCCACCTCTTGCCTGTAGCTGGACTCATTATTGTTGGTGATGCATCCCACCACCACTGTATCAACTGCAAACTTTACAATGTGACAGCCTGGATGGGTAGCTGCACAATCATATGTGAGCAGAGTAAACAGGAGAGGGCTCAACACACATCCCTGAGGAGAGCCAGTGCTGAGGGTTATGGTGGAGGAGGAGAAGTTGTGGATCCTCACCAACTGTGGTGTGTTTGTTAAGAAGTCTAGTACCCAGTTGCAAATGGAGGGGCTTAGTCCTAGTGTGGATAGTTTGTCCATCAGGGTTTGGGGGATCATGGTGTTGAAGGCAGATGTGAAGTCCACAAAGAGCATACGAACGCAATAGTCTATCTGCTCCAGGTGGTTGAGCGCAGTGTGGACCACAGAGATGGCATCCTCTGTTGATCGGTTCTCACGGTATGCATACTAATGAGGGTCCTCGTTGATGTTGATTGTTGTTTTGATGTGGGTCATGACCTGTTTTTCAAAGCATTTAGCAACTATCGGGGTGAGGGCCACTGGCCGATAGTCATTCAGACCAGTCACTGTAGAGATGTACTTAATCTGTAAATCTGTACTTAAGCTGTACTTAAATGTACTTAATTAAATAAAATAACAGTGTAAAATCCTTGAGGTGATACAGATTTTTTAATGTTCTGATGAAATTCAACTGTAAAGACAAAAAGTTTTCTTCAAAATAATTTCTCATACAGTTTATAGTTTGTGACATCTCTGTAGAGTTCAGAGTTAAATGTTCTAGATGTGTCAGGATTCATTTTCCAAAATATCGTGGCTAATAATTAGGGATGGGGCCGATCCGATCATGCTAAAACAGTTGCTAAGGTTTTCCAGCTCTTACAGTCTGCATTTGATATCATCCAGATTTGTTCCATTTCAAACTGGTGCTAAATGCTGATAAAACCAAAGCTTTACAAAACAGAAAGTTGGTACCAGCAGCCTTTCCTTCCATCTTACCTACAAATGGTGTTCCTGTTGAGTTTGTGGATCATTATAGATACTTGGGAATCTTGGTTGATTCACATCTCTCTTTTAAGCCACTTGCAAAAAGATCTGAAGCTGTTCACTTTGATCTCTCTAAGGGATTTTAAACAATTGTTAAAGTTCAATGCAAAAATCAATACAGACATGTTCCTGTTTATAGTATTTTACCTTGTTTCATAATGTAAAACAAAATGGAATCGAGCTACATCACTAATTTTATTACATTTTTATTTTGTTTTATATCATTACTTTTATTTACTTTTGTTTTATATGAATTTTATGGCTGTTTATTGATGTGTACCTTTTCTGTTTGTCTAAAACAGGTCTCTCTTGAAAAAGAGTCCTTATGAGTCAGAGTCAGAGTCAGAGTTTCTTTATTGTCATTCGCACCTCATGTGGTACATGTGGTGGAGCGAAATTATGTACACAGGGTCCCAGTTACATCCAACAATAAAATGTATAAGAAAAACAGTAATAACATCTAAGATATGAACTAAGAAAAACATCAACTAAATATGCACTAAGCACTATAACACAAAACATCGAACATCAGCACAAACATGAACATGAGTCTGTGAGCAGATGTGCACGCATGAACACATCAACATTGAAACAGATCAGCAGCAACATGAAACAGATCAGCAGCAACATGATATGGTTTTTCACAGTGATTATTCTAGTTAGAGATTCATGAGTCTAACAGCCTCAGGGTAGAAGCTGTTCCTCAGTCTAGTGGTTCTACACTTAATGCTCCTTAACCTCCTTCCTGAGGGGAGTGGGGCAAAAAGTGTGTGTGCTGGGTGAGTGGGGTCCTTCGTGATGCAGGTGGCCCTCTTCCTGCATCTGGAGGTGTAGATGTCTGTGATGGTGGGGAGGCTGATTCCAACAGATTTCTGTGCAGCCTTCACTACTCTCTGCAAAGCTTTTCTTTATGCAGCTGTGCAGCCTCCATGCCACACATTGATGCTCGAGCACAGGATGCTCTCCACTGCACACCTGTAGAAGGAGGTGAGGACTGAGCTTCCCAGACCAGCTCGCCTCAGCCGTCTGAGGAAGTAGAGTCTCTGATGAGCTTTCTTGATCAGGCTGGTGGTGTTGTTGCTCCAGCTGAGGTTGTCATTCATGTGTACACCCAAGTACTTGTAGCTGGAGACCACTTCCACTGCAGATCCTCTTCTGTTCAGGGGGGTGTAGGTGTTTTTGTTCCTTCTGAAGTCCACAATCATCTCCTTTGTCTTCTTCACATTGATGTGAAGGTTATTCTCTCTGCACCAGCTCTCCAGGTGTTCCACCTCTTGCCTGTAGCTGGACTCATCATTGTTTGTGATGCATCCCACCACCGCTGTATCATCTGCAAACTTTACAATGTGACAGCCTGGATGGGTAGCTGCACAATCATATGTGAGCAGAGTAAACAGGAGGGGGCTCAACACACATCCCTGAGGAGAGCCAGTGCTGAGGGTTATGGTGGAGGAGGAGAGGTTGTGGATCCTCACTAACTGTGGTCTGTTTGTTAAAAAGTCTAGTACCCAGTTGCAGATGGAGGGGCTTAGTCCTAGTGTGGATAGTTTGTCCATCAGGGTTTGGGGGATCATGGTGTTGAAGGC